AACGCCATTTCTGAAAACAGTCAGTTCCGTTCCCCTCAGAAACATTCATATAAAATTCAATATTTGGATTTTCTTCCTATATTTCGTGCATCGTGAACCGTGATCTTGTTCTGCCTGCTACAGTATTTTCTCCTCTTTGTGTCCGTCTTCAGCATCTCTGGCCTTTGTTAACGCCCGTTTACAGACTAAGTATAATAACAACGTAATATTTCCACACAAATGGCCATTGGGAAAATGATTGCAGTGCAGTTTGTGTGCAAGCACGGAACAGAAGATAGTCTAAAATAAAACAAAAAATGTCCGGTACAGCAGTGCATCTGTAACATACTCCAGTGCAGGGGTGTCAAAACTCGGTCCTGGAGGGCCAGTGTCCTGCAGAGTTTAGCTCCAGCCCTAATTAAACACACCTGAACCAGCTAATCAAGCTCTTATAGGCATACTAGAAACTCCATTCAGGTGTGTTGAGGCAAGTTGGAGCTAAACTCTGCAGGACACCGGCCCTCCAGGACCGAGTTTAGACATCCCTGCTCCAGTGTATAAATTCAATATAGATTAATCATTGTTAAAGCTACAAAGTTACTTGCCAGGGCGGGTATTTTGACATACTTTTGTATGTATTTGCCCGTTCAGGCAGCTCACGCGGCTGTCTGTGCGCGCGCTGTTCACAGAGAACACCGCGCGCGAGTACTGAATGTAGTTGTCTTTCGCGCCCAAATGATTTTTAATCGCTTGAATTTTTTAATTAAGTCTTAAAAACACATGCAAATGATAAGTCGTGACGACGCTGCAGTGGCCCGATCGGGCAAGTGACAAATCCGCCTACTGTCCCGAACATCTTTCACGCTGGCCCCGGGCCATCGGGCAGTCCTTATTGTCGAGCCCTGGCAAGGCTTCATTGAAAAGAGCAAGTGCAGTTCTGGACATTGCAAATAACAAAGAAACCTTGTTTAAACAACCAGTTAACCTCAAACTGACATCTTCAGGACATTATTGTGTGAACTTGAGGGATGACAGTCATCTAGGTGAAAAGGAGACAAGTGAGAGCAATCACAAAATGAAAATAAAGTTCTTGCTGTGACCGAAAACATGACAACAAAAGAAAAGGAGAGAGTCCTGTTGAAACTGCAGACAATTTGGACATGCTTCAGCTGATAGACTGCAAAAATTACTGGCCTGCTCAGGTAATCATGATGATGAAAGCAACACAATCCTCAAGAACATTGTTAAAAACTGTGATACATGTAGCAGATACAGCAAGCCAAAACATAAGCCTGTAGTGGGTTTGCCTATGGCATCAGCCTATAATGAGACTGTGGCTGTGGACTTATATGAGCTTAAGCCGGGAGTATGGTCAACCCTCTCCTCATTGAAATTTTGCTGAAAGTGAAGAGGGACAAAAACTGTGACTGGAAGACAGCCCTAGATTGGGCACTAATGGCAAAGAAAGAATGTGCACAATGTCCATGGTTATAGTCCCTACCAGTTAGTGTTTGGGCAGAACCCAAATATACCCTCTGTCCTCACTGATAAGCCCCCAGCTCTGGAAACAAGTAAGAGTACTTGAATAGCTAAGCAAATCACAACACTACATGCAATGAGAAAAGCATTCACAGTAGCCGAATGCTCAGTGAGAATCAGAAGAGCCCTTCGTAAGCAACTGCGGCCCGTTCATGACAAATATGAAACGGGGGACAAAGTGTATTATAAGCGAGTAGATTGTAATGAGTGGAAAGGTCAAGGTGTGGTCATAGGCCAAGATGGTGTGGTGGTATTTGTCAGGCATGGCGGAACCTATGTTCGGGTGCATCAGTCTAGACTAAGAAAGGTGGATGACCCACAAACAAAACTGGAGAAGACAGAAAGGGAACAAATGAAAACATATGAAAAACCCACAGTAACACCAGCAGCAGATCTCAGTGACACTGAAAGTGAAAATGAGGAAGTGACACCAGCAAACGATGAACCTCTTAATGCTGAAGATGACAGTGAACCTCCTGCATCAGTGCTGCCAGGAGGGGATAATCTTGATCAATCCCAGACGACACAAACCCACTCATCCATGAGCTGTGAAGGCCTAAGACTAAAAATTTACCAAATGGTGAAATACACAATCAAAGTGGACAAACCCACACTGGGAAAATCCTCAGCCGAGCAGGAAAAGCTACTGGAAAGCACAAGAACTGGTATAATTTGTAGTACAGTGAGCCTGAGGAAATTGCTGGGACAACTGGATCAGTCGATCTAGGACAAATGGACACTGTTCAGGCGATTCCATCTGAACATGCTAAGTTGAGCACTGACTACAATGAGAATGATATACTGATAGTACATGATGATCTCTTCATGCCTGCAAAAAATACAGAACTCAGCACCTGGAAGAGAAATAACGTCTTTGAAGAAGTGAAAGATGAAGGGCAGAAGTGCATCTCCACGAGATGGGTGTGCACACTAAAAGAAACAACTGCTGGAGTTGTACCTAAGGCTAGACTTGTTGCGAGAGGCTTTGAAGAAACAAACACTCAAGACCTTCCCAAAGACTCACCTACATGTAGTTCAGAGTCTCTAAAAATGATCATGGCAGTCATATGTCAGAATAAATGGCAGCTAAACTCCATGGACATTAAAGCAGCCTTTTTACAAGGTAAAGAGTTAACCAGAGACATTTACATTCGCCCACCACAAGAAGCGCAGAGCAAAGAAACTATATGGAAGTTAAAAAAATATATGTTTATGGCCTAACGGATGCTTCTTTATTTTGGTATAATAGGGTGAAAGACACCATGCAACAACTGGGAGCTACAGTGTCAAAGGTAGATCCAGCAGTATTTTACTGGCTGGATGATTCCTGCAAAGTGATGGGGATTCTTGCATCTCATGTGGATGACTTTGTTTGGGGTGGTACAGATGCATTCTCCACAACTATCATTCCTCAATTGAAAGATGCCTTTCAAGTTGGACGGGAAGAGCATGACAGTTTCAGCTATATTGGAATAGAAGTACATTCTCTGGTGGATGAAATGCACGTACAAGGAACGTACATAAAAAATCTGCAACCCATTCCAGTGGACTCCACCAGAGCAACACAGTGTAAAGCTTCACTTACAGACGTTGAGATGGGCATGCTAAAATCAAAGATTGGACAAATATTGTGGGTTGACAGGCAAAGCAGACCTTACATAATGTGTGACATATCCATCTTGGCATCTGACACAAAACATGCTACTGTTCAGACCCTGCATTGTGCAAATAAACTAATCAGAAAATTTAAATCAGAAGAGCTCACCTTGAGGTTCCAGTACCTAGGGAAAGACAGTTCTGTTAAATTAGTGGTGTACAGTGATTCCTCAATGGGAAACCTTCCAGATGGTGGCACACAGGGTGAACATTTCATCATGCTTATGGGAGAAAATGGAAAATTCTCACCTATATCCTGGCAGTCAAAACGCATCAGGATTGACAGTGCAGTTTTCCTCGCTACACTGAATTTTGAAATTACCGATGGGATTGACAGTGCAGTGTGGCTGCTCATGCAACAACTTGCCCATTGTGTGTATAACAGACAATCATTCCCTTCTCGATGCTCTTAAATCTACAAAATCTGTCACCGAAAAGAGACTGCGCCTAGAAATCAGCAGTATGAAGGAGCTTATACACTCTGGAACTGTTCAGCAGATCTTGTGGTCAACCACCAAAGAGCAGCTAGCTAACTGCTTGACAAAAAAGGGGGCATCTGCACTTGGCTTTCTGAAAGCTCTCAGCACAGGCGTTTGCCATCTTAAAGACTGAAAGGATTTAACAATGATTTACTTATGTTTTGTCAATGTTTAGTCATTCAAACTAAATCTCTAATGTTAACTAGTTATACATAAAAAGAAAAGAAAAGAGGGGAGATTAAGTTATGTTTTATCTTCTGCGCATGTGCGAAGAGCACCATTTTGGGTTAGCGCGTTTTTTTTTGTAGTTCAGTTCAGTCCTGTATACGGAGCTGCTGTGGTTGAACGTGTTTGAGCAGTAAAGAGTGTTATTGCTAAGAACAGTTGTTGTTATTGAGTCAACATGATGACTTGTGCATGATGCATTTCTGTCTTTGAGAGTAACTGCTTTCTCTGATTCTCTGCTACAGTTCGGCAGTGTGGATCAGAAACTGGCACTTGCGACTCGTATCCGTGGCCATGTGTTGCCACTGGCTCTGCAGATGTACGGTTGTCGTGTGATTCAAAAAGCTCTGGAATCCATCTCTTCTGACCAGCAGGTAATTGTAAGTTGCCTTTAGTTTTCGAAAAGAGACTGCGCCTAGAAATCAGCAGTATGAAGGAGCTTATGCACTCTGGAAAGTTATGTTTTATCTTCTGCGCATGTGCGAAGAGCACCATTTTGGGGTTAGCGCGTTTTTTTTGTAGCTCAGTTCAGTCCTGTGTACGGAGCTGCTGTGGTTGAACGTGTTTGAGCAGTAAAGAGTGTTATTGCTAAGAACAGTTGTTGTTATTGAGTCAACATGATGACTTGTGCATGATGCATTTCTGTCTTTGAGAGTAACTGCTTTCTCTGATTCTCTGCTACAGTTCGGCAGTGTGGATCAGAAACTGGCACTTGCGACTCGTATCCGTGGCCATGTGTTGCCACTGGCTCTGCAGATGTACGGTTGTCGTGTGATTCAAAAAGCTCTGGAATCCATCTCTTCTGACCAGCAGGTAATTGTAAGTTGCCTTTAGTTTTCTTTCCACATTACACATTAAACCACAATGTTAGGGATTGTTTGATTGTACTGTAACTTTCTAAAGTAGGCTACAGTCCACTAGGATTTAAACAAAATTTTTTTAATACATTTAAGTCTACATCTATTAAAACAGAAAACGTTTAGAAATGGTAGTAGTTCTCAGAACTACAGAATGAGTAAATGTTTAATTGAAGGTTTTAATTTTTTATTTCTCATGTGTCAGAGTGACATCGTACGGGAGTTGGATGGCCATGTGCTGAAATGTGTGAAGGATCAGAATGGAAATCATGTGGTGCAGAAATGCATTGAGTGTGTCCAGCCCCAGGCTCTTCAGTTCATCATTGATGCCTTCCAGGGACAGGTATCAGCTCCACAGACACTCAAAACACCCAGAAACAGGATTTACTTATATGGTGGTGGCAGACCAAATATTGATGCATATTATTGCATGTATGTTAATAAGTTTCTTTAAGAGCCTTTGTAGTCTACTGTAGTCCATATTAAAAACGTACAAATAAAAATGCAGAGTTTTTGCTATACCATTTATACCCTGGTAGAAATGTTCTGGCTATATATTTTGTGTGTGTGTGTGTGTGTTCCAAATTTTTCTCTTTTATCGTGCATGTAAAGCACTTTGTGACGTGCTCCAGAAAGGTGCTTTAGAAATAAAGTACTTACTATATACTATATCAGTAGACAGGACTGCTTTGTTACTTACACCTGGGGCCAGTTGCATAAAATACTTAGACTAGTATTACAGGTTAGTCATCTAATTTATTTCTTTAAGACTGCTCATACTGTATCTAAGTCAGTTGCATTAAAACTTAGATTAGTCTAATTTGAAAATGTAAAAGTAAGACTGTTCACCCTTTATCTAACTGTTAGTTGGCCACACTAGTACTTAAAACAAAGGTTTAACTTGTTAGCTGTATCTATAACTGGCCCCTCTGTGTAACGAAGAAACAGACTAATATGAAAATGCTGGGTGAGCCATGCCATAAGTAAAGATGTGAATTAACATAGAATGAATTTAGCTCTACTTCAGGTTCTGCCTAGTTGTTTATGTTTGTTATGATCTTGTCTTTAAGTTTGACTTTAAATCTCAAATCAAATTAAATAAAATTATACTATACAAATTAAACTATATTGTGATAGGAAATTCTCATACATTGCAAAATGATTTTGGTCATACCTCCCTGGCCCTATATGTTGGTATTTAAGAAAACCACTAATAATATGATCAGTGATGTCATGTCTTTCTAGTGAACTGGATGCAGCATGATGTCTGTTAATGTTTTTTTGTGTGTGTCTGTGTGTAGGTGTTTGTTTTGTCCACTCATCCGTATGGCTGCAGGGTGATCCAGCGTATCCTGGAGCACTGTACCCAGGAGCAGACCCTGCCCATCCTGGAAGAACTCCACCAGCACTCTGAGCAGCTGGGACAGGTATGACTTCCTTAATGTGTCATCCGGGATTTCTAAGAATCTCTGATGTCTACCACTCTTGCTGTAGTTAGTTTCTTATTGTGTGGCCTCTTTTCATCTTTCAAAAAATAATCC